AGGGGCCAATTAGTTTAATTCAGTGAGTTTTAGTATAGCATAAAGGTAGCATTTAGCTAAGCTAATTGTCTCCTGGCTCTACCTTCCCAATTTACAGATAGATGAGAGTGGTTTCTCTGGCTAAAAGTGGTTACTTAACGTATGTAATATGTTTGTGTTTTAGTGCCTCCTTTGCAAAATAGTTTTTCTCTGGTTGCTGCTTCTCAGTATTTATATAGATTAACACTGAGCCAGACCAGAAGTCAGGTGATGAGGAAGTGGTAAACAGAGAAAGGGTGTTGAACTTCAAACTGTACAGGATGGGCGATAATACAAAGAGGGAAAGTTGGTTAAGGACGCAATGTAAGATTAAAGACAGAGTGAAAGAAAGTCACAGTGGCATTGCCAATAAATGTTCAATGGCTTCATATTACATTAAGCTGACTTTTATCCAAAGCGACTTACAATTGCTATATATGTCAGAGGTCACACAACTCTGGAGCAACTAGGGGTTAAGTGTCTTGCCCAGGGACACATTGGTGTCTCACAGTGGATTTGAACCCAGGTCTCTCACACCAAAGGCAAGTGTCTTAGCCACTGCACCATCACCACCCCATATGACTCAGGTTCTCAACTCTATACCTCAAATACTCCTAAAAAGGAAATTCCTGCAAATCCCCCAGAAAACAAGATACTGTGCGTGCAAGTGAAAGCTAATCTCTCCTGCATTCAAAACCGTGGCATCATATCACAGGCAATTTAACTTTAAAACCTCTTATGAGAATTTACCACAACATATTGTACAAACATGAAATACAATCTGGCCCATCTTCATTTGTCACTTCCCACCCACTGAGCACTCACGCAGATCTGCTGAAATTAGTTACGACATGTGTGAGGGAGGGAGAGAGGACGGGGGATTTGGGAGGTCAGGCTGAGTTGAAGACATCATTGTCATGGAACGCAACATACTTAAGGACATTAAAGATTTATGGAATGATGCTGTTGAAGCTCAGTTCATGAATATATTTTCCCATTTATCATTTGTTATTTAAGGAGTGGTCCTGTCTGTTCTGAGAAGCAAAAACTACAAACTCAAGTATAGTCAGGTGAGCAATGCTACAGTGCTCTTTAACGAATAAGGTAAATTAAATTAATATACGTGCTGATAGAGAAGAAAACATGTATTTAGTTCTCCTTTTTGCCCCTTAAAGCCAGGAGCATCTTCAAAAACCTGAGTTAAAAGGGGACATGAGGTATGAGTCCATCTCCATCTGTGTGTTTTTCAGGATCATTTGAGGGGCTCTGCTTCAGATCTGCAGCAGGAGCAAAGTACCAGAGTGACGATGTGACCCGCTGACACAGCAAGCCATAAACACTTTGACAAGGGAGGGGCAGCAATGACAGAATCCATTCTGCTTGGTCATGGAAGCACCTCTAGTCAGCTTTCGAGAGATAAATACTGTTAATAAGCACGAGGCAGGCAGAGAGAGGTAGTGTGTAATATACCTTTTCCAGGGCCATCAGAAATCATCCAGGCTTCCTGGTTAACACTGACCCAAATCTGACCTCGGTTTGGATTAAGGGTCTCTGGTGAGTAGTGTTTTCCAGCACACACATTAATGCTCAATCAAACATGTATATCAGTAAAAGCTGAGGCAGCTAACCCCTCTTTGTGGATGGACCAGAGTTCTGGTGTAGTAAGCCCCTGGTGACTGAACACAAAAACAATTTTCATTTTAAAAAAAAGAAAAGATTTTCTGTACTGTATCAGTTCTCCAGTAACTTTTATTGATGCTTGTTAGAAGTACACAGGTGGAAAAGTTGCATGATAAACAAAAATGAAACTGGGGCATTTGTTTTCATTAGATGCAACCACACAGTGTGTTCCTAACCACCCATCAGGCTTTGTGAAAGCACTCCCAGGTACTACACAGTGTATACATGCAGTGTGGTCAGTACACAAAGCAGTTCCAACTCTGGAGGAAATACTAAATGATGCACTAGAAAAGATATTGTTTACACCTACGCTTGGCTACAGGGTCTCAGACAGTGTGAGAGCTAGAACTGTCTCTGAACAAGAGAAAATTGTTTCTGCCATGTCATTCAAAGAACCGTGTAGACCTTTTGTAAACCAAGTCAAACTCTGGGGAGAAAATACAAGATTTTCTGAGCCCTTTTAGGTGTGATGTGAGAGAAATGTGCAAGGAGAGCAAGAATCGCAGCAGCGATCTTCAAGAAGGCTCAGAAGTCTTTGTTCTGATTCTGACTTTGATCTCATTAGTGTGTACACTGTCTCATTTTGTCTGTTCAGTATTTTCAGAGTATTTTCGGCTTTGAGCCTCATTTACAAAAGATTCTGACAAGTTCAAAATTGAAAAAGTCCTGTACACTGTCATTACGGAGTGAATTAAAACTGCATTACAGTGTCTTGGTCACATACCTTCATCATTCATATTTACAGTATGAAACAACATTTTTGTACCACAGGCTGCAACAAAAAAACTTCCCTAAAAGTCAAAACTATTTCCTAAAGTGAGATAAAACATGTCAAGATCCATGAAATACAGTAGCAAACACTTGATGGGAAATGCAAAGTAAGTGATTTTTATCAAGAAGTTCAAATAGTGGAGAGGGGGAGGAACGATAACAACCAGCCAACAACCAGTCCACATTTTTCTGCTTTATTCTAGGACCAATAATTGTCTCATTCTACTGATGATTTTATCAGTTATTGATGTTGTCAGTAAGTGGTTCCCAACTCTAGCCCTGCAAAATGAGTTCATGTACCCTTTCATCAACACCACCTGTCATTTTCCAAACCTGTTCATTTGAATAGACTTCAAACTGCATCTTATTTAACACTATTAACATTCAACTTTTAAATTACATAAAAGGTATATTGTTATATACTATTTTTTCATATATTTTTTTCCATACAAGGCATAGTAGTCCTGGGATTGTTCATATTCAGGCTTGATCTCATTTTCTTTTTTTCAGTAAGCTCTAAAGTTAGTTTAAAGTAAAGTTTGCATTTATATAAGTACCCCGTAGAGTGGAAGAAGCTGGACATTTCAACCTACTTAGCTAACTATGTCGACATATTTGCTCACATTCTAACAAATTTTCACGCACTCTCAATCGCAGCACATTGTGTTCACGTGTTACAACTGACTCAGGTCCTGTGCAGTCAGCCTATCATAGCTGGAAGATTACTGGTTTTTACCAAATCACGATTTCTACTTAGCTAAGCTGCTCCACAGTCTCCCCATGTACTGTACCCGCTTCCTAATGTAAAAGTACCCCCTGGGGTATAAGTACAACTGGTTGGGAATCACTGGCTTAATTGTTTCATGTGCTTGATATATGTTTTGATTAGTTGTTGCAGGCTTTGTGGCCACTGTAAAGAAGATGTTGTTTCATATTGTGAATGTGAAGCCTAACAAACAGCACCCACATTGTGAATTCAACACATGATTTCAGTTTCTACCAGGTGTAGATTAGGCATCACTTAAAATCTGATTCATTACTAATCCCTAACCTAACCTAGAAGTTTGATGATGAATGTTGTTGATATAATTTAAATTTTTATCACATTCTTTGAGTGGATTATTTTTCACTGATGCTCTCAAGCCTGACTAACAGCAGCATACCAAGGAGGCTACCTTAAAATGATTGCACTTAAGAAAAGATCAGTGGTTACATGTTCTGAGTCACAGTGTAATACATAAACTACAGTGGCACATCAAAAGAAAAATATAAATAAAATTATTAACAGTAACGCAGAATGCAGTCATGCACTCTTGGAATTTTCAGTAGTTGAAGTAATCTATTTATTTGATCTTTTCGAGTGTGCTCAAAGCAGAGAAGTAAACACTTGTTCTTTTAGAAAAGCACAGAGGTTGGTGTAACATGAAAATCTTCACTTTGTTGTGTTCATTATACAAACAATACATTTTTATCATATTGATACATGTGTGATTATGAGGCACCACACAATAATACTGCACTGTCTTCAATTATTTACACAAAAAAGCATCAGCCCCTCTGGCTACAAATGCTTGAAATGTGAGGATGAAAATACTGTCTGCAAGTCATTTTTATGACTTTGTATATAATAATAATAATGTGCATGTGTGTTCGTGTGTGTGTGAGCAGCAGACATTAAAACAGAGTGAGTGACAAGGTGTTTGGTTTTTACTGTGTCTAAGTGCTTCTTATAGCTATAAGGGAGAGAAAAGACTTGTGACAGAAAATAGCAAGGAGGAGAATAGAAAGACACTTGACCGGAAACAATCGGGTCATTTGAGAGCAGGCTTATATACACACGCGCACACACACACACACACACACACACACACAGACAATTGCTAAATGGCAGTTGGGATAAGATGCAGTCAACTCTCTGGCTCACTTCATCACAACACAATTCCACATGTTGTACGCTTTATCCTCTCTTTCCGTATCACACGCACATACGAACACACACACACACACACATTGAAAGCCTCGGGGTGCCTGTCTGCCTAAGCAGCACGTCTGCATTCCATCTATTTTACTTTCAGAGAAAGGTGCAAACACATGCCTGGGAGAGGAAATGGCCAGCAATGGCCCTATGCTAGGGGTGTGACGAAACACTTAACCCACGAGATGAGACGAGACGAGACGAGATTTTAACACTATTTAAAAAATATATTTAATGCTGAATTATATGAAAATTTTGAGTATTAAACACTTTATGCATTATAATGAATTTTCTGCACCAGTTTATGGTGATTTTTTTTTATTTATATAAAGAAAAACACAAAATTCAGGTGGCAGGTGACAATTCAAACTCTATAGCCTAACTATAACAGAATATAAATCAGCGCAGCTCTCAGTCATTCTGTGCTGCTTTCAGATCTGTTTCTCCTGTAGATCAACTTTTCTGTGCAATGTCATCCCTGCTGAGTCATGATTTAGTCACCTCAATGATAAATTATTACATTTTAATTTAGTTATAAACTACTGGACTATAATAGCTCCTGTGTTTCAGCAGCTTTTCTGCACATTTAAAATGTGTGTTCTCTGACATGTCTGGAAAAAAGGCAGAATATAACCAGACTAACATCATCATTTGATGAGAAGTCTACCTGCCCTATACTCTGCTGTGCATTATGTTTTTGATAATTGTAGTTACATTATCTATCCCCTTCAGACCGTTTGACCGATGTAGTTTGTATGTTGTATGTGAAACCGAAAGTAGCCTAAATGAAACACTTTTGATCATGCAGAAATCTCACCACAGATCCATACAATTTAACTTCAGCAGCTCAGATAAAGTGCAGCTCACGGATCCAAACAAAGAAGCAAGGTTGTACTTCAGTTTTTATATGTTTATGTTGTAAAACTATCAGCTACGTTACCACTTGTCACAGCTGTCTGGATTCGCTACGCTGGTGTCAATCAGCTGGACTGAGTTGATTCGCTCCGTGAGCCATCTTATCAGTAATACATTTGTATTTCACTGCGTGAGAAAATTATTGTGTGGCTTGACAGCGTGTGAAAAATGACATTTGTGTGAGTCTCGCAAGACAGCTTTTTACCTGACGAGAAATATTGTCACAATTTAATCTCGCGAGATCTCGTCACACCCCTACCCTATGCTGTACATGCCACTGTATCCAGGCCACAAAAAACACGCATCCTGATGAAAAGCTTCCACTGCAGTTCCCAGTTCAGACACTTCTGAGCCCCACACGGAACAGTGATGCAGAAATATGACTTTGTAGTTTTTGAGTCTTTTTTGTTTGTTTGTTTGAAGTCAGTGAAACAGTTTTGCTACTGAAACAGTAAGCAAGGAGCCCCTTCGTCCCATTGGTCCTCATGTTGAGAGTGTGACATAATAGAAAGGTTGACAAAAAAGGAGTAAGAAACAGAGGGAGAAGATAGACATCACTATCTAACGTCACAAACAACCGCTGTGCGGAGATTGTCAAGGCCTTCGCATTATATTCAGTGAATGAGGTTACATTATGAATCAAGTGTCTCTGTAAACCCTTTGCCTTCTGTGCAGTTCATGCAAGTTTAGCCACTGTGGCGTGCATGCATCACAGTAACTGTATGAGTCCGTTTATTGTATTTAAATGAAGGGAGAAGAAGTCAGTGAGGAGGGGAGTAAGCCAAAGCCCACATCCTTGTCCAAAAGCAGTCTGAATGGTGTTTAATGAAAGCCTCCTGAATACTAACCAAAGAGCTTCCTCTTGTTTTTTAAACTCCTTTTCTGCACCGTTCAATCCTTTGATCCGTTAAGCGTCCCTTCATTTCTAGTGCAATCCCTGAAAGTGAAGGTGTAAAAGCGCCCCACCCCCCCAGGCCAACACTTTATCCTACATCTCAGAAGCTCAGAGGGCAAAATGTCTATTACAACCAATGCAGGAACCATTCAGAAAGAGCGTTTCCATGACTTACAGAGGATCTTCTGGAAGGCTCTGCGGAAGTCCTGGTTGAAGATGGTGTAGATGACCGGGTTTAGTGAGCTGTTACAATAGCCAATCCAGAAAAAGAATTTGAACAGCGTGTCAGGGATCTTGCACAACTCCCGGCAGATTCCATACAGGCTGTATGAGAAGAAAAACGGGAACCAGCACATGACGAAAACGCCCATGACGACGGCGAGGACAAAGGTGAAGCGCTTCTCCCGAGCAGCGGAGACTTTCTTCCTATTGACGGTGCTCCGGCGTTTGCGACGGGATGAGAAGAGTTCCATAGACTTGGAACTGGCACGTGACTTTCTGCTGGAGTATTTAGAGGCGGAGCTGCCTTTCCGGCTGGACTTCCTGTCTTTCCTGTCCTTCCTGTCCTCGTGGTGATGTTTGGAAGAACTGGAACTTTTTTTAGGTTTTTCGTCTGACGAGCTGCTATCTTCAAAATCATCATCGTGGTCTGTCGGTGGATGTTTTGGCTCGTTCGGTAGAGTGGATTGCACTGACTGCTCTTGGCAGTGTCCATTCTCACGCTCCTGTTCTTTCATACTCCCGCCCCTGTTGGACTTAAATGACCCTTCTCCCCCTGGTTCCGCTTTGCCCATCCCATTCTCCTGTGGCGAGTCCACATCCCTCTTCTTCTCTGACATTGTTCTGGTCCTGGTCTTTGCCACTTGGTAGATCTGAATATAGACCAGGATCATGATGACACAGGGGGCAAAGAATGAGCCAATGCTGGAGTAGAGGATGTACCAGGTCTCATCATTCAGGATACACTGGGGACTCTCCTCACTGCTGCTTCTGTCCATTGATATCAGCGGTGGGAAGGAGATGACGGCTGAGATCAACCACACCACCACAATCATCCCTTTCACTCTTTTAGGGGTTCTCTTTAAGTTATACTCTACTGCCTGTGTCACTGACCAGTACCTGTCCAAACTAATAGCACACAGGTGAACAATAGAAGAGGTGCAGAATAAAACGTCCAGAGCCAGGTAGATGTCACACCAAATTTTGCCAAAAAACCAGAAGCCCATGAGTTCATTTGCCAGAGAAAAGGGCATGACCAGGGTGGCCACCAGTATGTCCGCACTGGCCAGGGAGACGAGAAAAAGGTTCTGGGGTGGTTTCAGGGCTCTGCTCGTTAAAACAGCGATAACAACCAAGACATTCCCGACTATTGTAAACAAAATCAGAAAGCTGACAAGTCCGGCCAGAGCCCAGATAGCGAGCTGGGTGTACTGGCTCTGAGAGGTTGAATTAGAGGAGATATTTTGTGCCTCTATCCCGACCTCCAGGCTGGAGCTATTAAAGAAATCCATTTTGAGGGGTTTTTTTTAGTCAAGGTATGACTTTAAAAAAAAAGAATGTGTGGAAATAGTCTGTAGAAATATCCCATATGGACTTCAGCGCATATTTCACTACAGAAATCTACAAGAGGCATTTTTCTTCTTTCCTCACCTGCGATCTTCCACATCCTGCATGCAAGTCTCTCCTTTGGTAAAAAGAGAGAGAGAGAGAAAGCAAGAAAGAGAGAAATAACGTAATTTGGTCTTTTAAGTCCTTACACCAAAAACGTGCAGGCTGCTCCGCAGCAGAATGTCAGTGGTTAGAGAGCGGGCTCCTCCATCCCGACTGCGCCCGCATCTCTCCACCTCCGCCTCCCCGCTGTGTCCTGAGAGAGGTTTGTAACAACCACGTGTTTTCTTTTTTGTTTTTTTTACATTAGAAAAAACTAGCTCAGCTTCGCTCCACCGTGGAGGAAAGATGAGAGTGATTGTTGGAGGAGAGAAGATGAAAACAGTGAAATAAGCAGGCTAAATATACTATAGTCAAATGTTTTTTATAAGTGATAATTTCTTAACACGATCAGTGAAGTCTGCTACTGGAGGAGCGGTTGTTTAATGCGTGCCCTGTTTATCTGCACTGTAGGTGCAAACTGGCTGACTGTCACAAATTAGACAGCTGATCAGTGAATATCTCTCCTGATTTGACTTTTGAAGGTCTAATTTAGTATTAAGAGCGTGCTCGCACACATTTTAATAGATACAGTCAGTAGCAGCTGTTTGGGGGAGATTACATTGCTGTCAAAATGCACAAACTGACAGACCCGCACCAAAGACAATACGCTCTGCTCTGTCCTTCTGTGCGCACACTGGAGGTCAGTATTGTAACAGCCGGAGGGACAAACCGGCGAGCTCACACCATAAAAATGAACAACATTCAACATGCAATATTATATCTACACGGCCATCAGGTGAATACATACTGCACGATTAGCATGCGCCTTGTAAAATGAACATAGACAGAGCCTGTGCGACCTTGCAGTGGAAACTTTTATTTAGCAGCACTCTCCTGACATTATTAGTTTGTGTTTTTGTGTTGTCAGAATCGTGTTGATAAGAAGATTACAGGATTACACAGTACTGTTGTCATGTTCTGATGGAGCTGAGGAGCACTCAGCTTTCTGGGATATCAAAGGCACTAAATTATCTGCAGGGAAAACAATGTAAATGCATACTGAATAGAATGGAGCTTGCATGATATATAATTAGTGAGTATACACCTTAAAGTCATGGGTTTATCCCCTGCATGGGCTTTATCATGCACAATAAAGGGCTGAATCTACCCGATTGGTTATCTTGTCTGTTATTTATTCATGTGGTTTCATTTTACATGAGGACATACATGTATGTGTACGTTTTTGGTCTCCCTTTTTGCTCCCTGCTCCCGTGAACCCCCTCTGATGTGGGTGGTGCTGCTGCCTGGAGGAAGCCTGTCTCCCCTTTGGCATATAGCCTGGTATTAAGTTCCCAGACCAGTGCGTTTATTGACCGGTCTCGTGGCTAAGTACCTGTCATTAATCACAGAGCGTTCAGCCATACTGAATAAAAGAGCAGCCAGAGCCTCAAGAAATGCTCAAGTCCAAATTGATCCTCATCAAGGCTATGAGGTGGAATGAGGAGGGCTCAAGGGGCCCTGATCTCTCTGCCTGGGAAACACAGTCAGGATGGCACGCAGTCTCTAACTTATCCCCCTACACATTCCCAAGACACACTGCTCCTTCTCATGCTGCCTGTTTAAATTGAACTAAGGCTAGAGTGATGCTGTAGGTCAGTGTGGATGCACTCTAAGCTGATTTTGAACAGACAGACAAGCCTTATTATGGTCATTAACTCGTGTCCCGGGGCCACAGCTCTGTCCATATAATTGGGGAACCAGTGAGCAATCTCAGCTATTACTGAGCCCTTTTCTTGTCTCCAACATTGCGCTCTGTTCTGAGGGAATACGTTGGCTCTTCCTGCTACAGTACTAGCCAGAAGCCAGCTTTTGGGTGTCAAGGAGACTGTGTTGATTACTTGTATTCCTTTAAACCAAAGCTGTCTACTTTTTTCCTCTTTTCAAACTACTGCCATTCTAAATTATTCTCCTTTTTGTGCTGTTTCGTGCTTTGTTATCTTGGTTCAGTCACTGTAGTTGTACAAAATGTGACCCTTGTTGGCTTATCGTAACAGAGGGTTTTTTGGTTTGCAGTGATCTGTCCTTTTGTTTAAGCGCTACACTGCAGCATTTGTGGAACTGAAAATGGAGATGTCCAGAGATTTAAATCAACTATATGAGCCTAATGAGATTCCCTTAATAGAGCTTCAAAAACCTAATAACACCTAATGTGTTCTCACAAGGTAACACGAAGACTTTTGTTGCCTATTGAAATCCAAAACAGTGACCACTCTGGTTATTGCACTTCATCAGTTCCTCATCATAGCTAGAAGACATAATGCCATCCTGCTTATGCATGCTTATCGTCTATTTGTACATAGTGTGCATGCATAAGCACAGAATACTCAGTGCCAACATAGACTTTTCCCCAAAGAAATCAAAGCTGTTATCAGTAAAGCCACTTCTCATTTTCCCACCCTCCCTAATGTGCATTAGTTTCCATATAGGCCCCCCATAAAGGGAAGTATGGTACCAGCTGTTGACAAAGACAAATGGCTGGGCTTACAAGTATAGAGCTGAGAACAAATAGTTCAGGGGAGCAACATTCAGCCCTGGGGAGTTTCTCTCTTGCTAGCATCACCTCACAGTACATGGCCTGCTTCTTATCTAGTACCTTGTCTTTCTTTGATAAATTACCTTGTTGGAACAGCAGTAAACTGAGATTAATGGAATTGTTTATTTGGAATTTCGTGTAATGCTTTAAAATGCAGAAGATTTTAATTTTTTGGAACCTTAATCCTAAATTATCACAATGAAAATAAAGTTAGCGCAGTCAATGTCACCATATTTTCTTCTAAAATATATGACTCAATAATCTCATATCTCTCCAGCTGACCTAAATCATTAAATCATTCTCAGATGCTTCTTTATATATAGATGTGTGTCTTTTTGTAAACTACTAGGGGCCAGGTTGATTAAAAAAGCTGCAGGGAGGTATATTTTAATTCAGAGGTAAATCTTACACTGTTGTCTTTCTCAACCTTATGCTACTTCCAGAGATTTGCTAGCACATCTACAGTGACCTTGGCATAGTTGTCCCTGTGAAGCAGGCAGCTGGCTGTCAGGCAGGATGCATAACATCAGAGGTAAGATGTACCTTGGCTTTTCTGGTTTAACTTTAGAAAGACTGAACCATAGGTTGTATTTCAGTTGTGCTATTTGCTTTCTATGTAAACTTAAAAATGATCCTTAACGGATCTGCACAATGACGTTGTTTAGGGTACCAATCATGTGAAAATAAGATCTTGAATTTGAAATCTCTTGATGATTTATTATCTTCCAGTTATACAAAATCTGCTACTCTTATAAATCTAATACTCTTTAAATGGAGATAATATATTAAATAGTACAATGTTATTTTGTTTTTTTGCTGAGATTCTTATAAATAATAATAATAATAATAATAATACAATCAGTGGTGGAAACACACTGGAACGCCGTTCTAAGGGGAAAAAGTCGAGAGGGAACAGTGTTCCTGCTCAGATTTTGAAAATCCATTCAGTGTTTTTATAGGGGGAAACTGTTAACAGTTTCCAAACTGTTCAACTAATGTTTTATTATTCTTGAACGCACCACAAATCCAGCTATTGTCCATAAAGCCAATTTTGGAGTGTAATTGTATTTATTTTATTAACCAAGATATTGTTTTATTTCTATCTTTGAAAAAGTTTTTTTCACATTTAATTCACATTTTGTTGTTGCTCTATCAGTAGTAGTCAATACAGAACTCATTTTGCTCTGTCAAATTCCAAATGAATCAGCACAATGCTGATGAAAACGAAGAGACATTTTGACTTAATTGAGTTTTGGTATGCTATTTTGAAAATGTGGCTGATATTAAGCAAAAAAATAATCATGAGGTTAATGGAGAATAAAAGTGTAAGAGATGTATACTGAAGCTGTATATATTGTAAAGGCTCAATTCCTTTGAGTACATTTTGGCATTTCATCCTTTCAGACTAATACAACAGTCCTAGTCAAGGTCTTCTCCAGTATGTCATCTGTGATATTCATGGTCATGAGCTTTTCCAAAAAAGCATCAGGGACTCCAACTTTAACTAACAAATGTGCTTAGAAACACAAATCAAATAGCTTTGCCAAAAATGATGCCCCGGAATGGCCACTATGAAGGCTTTTCAGTCTCTAGTCTATAGCACAATAGACTGTTACAGTGCAGAGAAACAACTGTTTAGATTATGCAACTGTCCCAAGAAAGGTTGACTGTCCAATTTTAAGCGCTGCCTTGTGCTTGTGTACTGTCTGCCCTAGCAAAGTATTGCTTCCCATCTGAGGGACAGTTGGGCCACACTGGCAGATCTGCAGGCAACTCGAGCCTTAGGCACAGCAGGAATGTGTTGAAAACGTGGCACCCCAGGCGTAGACCGACATCAATCAACAAGCTGTTGCATCATGATCTGCGCACCAGATCGACTTGCCATTGGTGAAAAATTACCATCTGTGAAGTGTCACTCAGAGAGAGGTCACAGACTGGCCGAGAGAGATGACTTGATATAGGAATTAAAGGTGAGGGTGAGGGTGGAGACAGGAGAAAGTAATGGATTGGCTATGAGAAGTTGGCATTAGTTCTGGTTTGCCGATTGGATCAACAGCTAAGAGTTAAATGCATCATGTGTGCCTAATAATATACTGAAATAAATCTAGAGATGTTGGACTCATGGCACGTTATCCTGTGAGTCAATGCTCCTTAGCGTTTGGCTACGTGGAAGAAAAACTGCCTAATGTGGACACGAAAAATTCAGCGAAAAAATTTAATCACGTGCAGGCACACCCCCATTACCAACACAGTTCAGCAGTGCCAAAAACATCAGTTGGTAAAGTAAACCATCCCGATTAGAAACACTAGTAGATCAAATCAAACATGGGACCACAGCTGTAATGCACCATCAGCAGATAAACCCACCTTTTGCGGTACAGTACCTCTTCCATCTATACTCATCCATAGATCATGTCACAGCCTCTGGTAACCACAGGCCCAACCGAAATACCTGGCTCTCTAGTATAGTGCCACTACAGAAGCCTGCGGTGCCTGAGAGCTTAGCTGAGTCCTGTGAGCGAAGGGAC